GGCTCTTGAAGAAAAGAGAGTTAAATAACACCGCACAATCTGGGCTCTTTTTACAAAGCTGCAGGTCTGGCTGAAATACTCAGGCGTCAATAGATTTTGTCTGTTGGGCTAGAGTGGACACCAGACAGTCCGTCAGGTGTTTGTAAGTGTTCAGTTAATGAAGATAGGAATTTTTAAAGAACTTTGAAAACAGGAAAATGATAAACATCCCAGCCTAGCATCATCAACATTGATAACTGCCCCGACAGGAAGTGCTTAATAAGAGGAGGGATTATTGAGCAGAGCGTCGTCTGGGTACAAATATGTACATGAATTTATGCACAATAAATCAATACGGGCGATTCACAATCGTGCACCTCCAAGAGTTTGTAATGGGTTGGCCAATCACAACGCGTGAAATTGTTGACCCTTTCGAAATGCGCATTGGGTCGACAAATTTCAAGCGTTGTGATTGGCCAACGCGTTGCAAACTCTTGGAGGCACACTATTGTGAAATGACCATATTAGAGACTTACCATAAAAGAAAGGCACTAGTTCTACGCTGAGGATGGACGGTTTATACTTGAGGAGAGATAGATTCACTTGTAGGCTAAAAAAAAGGATAAGCTCCATTAAACGTCAATGGGAATGGTCACTGATCAGCAAATATGAAAGACAAAAAAGTACCAGCACTGTTTTTCCAAAACGTAGATTTGTGAACTTTAGAGCATTTTTGAGATCCAAAAATTCAAAGCAAATTTTTTTCAACTGTGGCCAACTGGCTTTGGCTGAAACAGGCACCTCCAAACCTGCACTAATGCAACACAAAACAGTCCCTTATTCACAGCACCTACAAATATGTACATTGCATGTGCAAGCAACGCCCACTTAATAAAGTGTACACAGATTGTCTGTGGAACTACAACTTGTAGTACTCACTTTCTCTGTTGCTTCCTCCAAATGTGGTACGGGTCGTACATGCACTCAAACAGATGAAGCACTTGGCTGATATAGGATACCAGCAAAGACCGATCCCCATCATCTACAGAGCTCATCTGCATGCCAAGAAAAGGTCCCAATATGCATAAGTTTTACTTTCTCTTTGTACAATTCAATATTAAAGCGATTATATGTAATGGTTATGAGTTTTAAATGATAAGCAAATTTATAGGGTCTGCTCTTATAATGCCAGTCGTGTTTCTCCAACATGTGGAAACTCAAACTATGGCCAGCCTTCAGTACAAAAGTAAAAGAATAACTCACTAATTGTTAAAAATCCCACGCAGCTACTGGTATCAGAACAACAGATAATAAATGCACATACTAGATTAAAATACAAACCTACCAGTATTTAAAACGAGTGGAACAAATGTCCATTTTAAACGAATTTGAGGTAACACTAAAAACCAACCAAAACATCATATTTGCGCAAACTTTGGTTGCCATTAGTGTTGTAGGCAAATTTAGAGAACGATCTATAAGTATTAGTTTATTCATGCCATCAATATATCTGTATCAACAGTTTAGTTGATTTTGGTTTACTTGGAAGAGGCCAATCGGTATGACTCACCTTGTTTATAATGCTGGTCGTCATGGGAACAATGTATTTCAGATACTCGCATGATGCAACCAGGGCCAAGTTATCATGGTGCCTGAAACGCAAATCAATTTTTCAAAGAAGACCAAATTCCACACACATGTGCATGAGAAAAATCGACAAGAATTAGGGCAGGCATTGCCTGGCTCGGAGTGCATTATTCACAAGATATACAAATTTTGCCCTAATTTCATTGAGGTGTGTCTTAGTCAATATGCAAATGATAATAAAAATTATAATAAAAAGCATCAATGGTCAGGTCCACCACCTGCCTACTGGATCTGACAAAATCCGAATTGCTGGTAGCTCAAACAACGTTCCTTTCCCTGAATGGCAGTTAGCAATGAGATCAAACAATATTCCATAAGGTTGGCTATGTTGTTTTAAAATAAGGGCAACTATTTCGAGAAGTCCAATGACTAAAAACATTTAACTGTTTTTTTTTTAATTTTACCTGCAGATGATAGTCAACGCCTGCAGCATCTGCAGTGCCAATTGGACGCTGTCCTGCAGTGCGCTGCCGCTCTCTGTGCAATGCTGGGCACACCCTGCCAGTTGCTTGGTTATGACTTGTAAGATAGTGCCAGGCAGCTTGGACATCCCTGGCCCCTCTAGGGGTTGTCTGGGGGGGGGAGTGACAGCAGGAAATGAATACTGGCATTCCATGAATTGAGTCTGCATTGGGCAAATCAACTGAAGGATTCCAATTGGGGACATTTGATTTGATGCCAAACAAAGTTGTTATATTTGACAGTTAAACGTCCACATTGAAGAAGAGTACAAAATTGCAGAAAAATTGTGTTGAAAAAAACTGAATTGCAGCTACACTTTAAGGAGCAATGCGTATTCCCAAATGGGGACAGTGGTCTACAGGCGTGCATGCTAACTCAACAACAGCGTATACCCAATGGGAATACAGCAGATTCCTACAAGAAACACTGCGTTCCTTTAAGGAGTGTTCCAATGGGAACAAAACTATTCTGAATTTGTGAGACAAACTTTTTTGGAATCATTCTATGTTGAACTACAGTCCACCATTCACTAGACTCACCCTTCTTCCAGATGTCTGAACTCCAAGTCTATTTCTCGGTTGTAGTTCTCTATGAACCTCTCAAGATACTTCTGGAAGAACTGTACGTCCGACTGCAAAAGAAATACGGGCATGGTTTCATTGTTTCCCAGTTACAACATCAGAAAATTTACTGTCTATTTTGTTAATAATTCCAAAAATCTGCTTAACTTCAACTCTTAGATACAGCTCGCTGCTTAGAGGAAAGAATCATATAGTTCTTAAACGTAGCGTCTCAGGCTGGATCCTTTGGGGGAAGATCCCTGGCCTAAGCTAAGACTGGATTACAGAAACCGATGCCTCAAGAGGATACACTTACGTTGCTGGTGTAGAGCATCCATAATTGGTAGAGCTGCTCATTGCCACTCTCAGGCCCGGGGTCCTGGCCTTGATCCTGGGCGTGGTCTGGGTCCGGGCTGGGCTCTGTTGATGACATGCTGGGGGTGCTAAGAGAAACTCTGCACAAGCCGGGTGGTTACATAATGGGGACCTGCTCAGGAAGGACTTCCTTGCCTATCTGCAAAAAGTAATCAGATAATTTCCATGGCAGAGTGAGACTATATTTGACTCTCATGGTTAAAAATGGTATTGTTCAGAGCAGAAAACTGAGACCAATTTTACACACTACATTGTATGTTTGGTGTTCTCATTTTATACATTCATGTATATAAATTTACAGTGTGTCAGGTTTTTCTTGCAAGTAGGCGACTGAAATGAAATATCAGCTTCAAGCAACAAAATGCCCATCATACAAGCAAGTGGCAAATTTCAACAGACAACGTTGACCTTATCAGAAGCTCCCTTCCATGGAGAGAACTGCAAATGAAGATCCTCAATGTGCAAATGGCCTCGCACTGCCGGCTTCAGCTTCAGAGCTGTTTTTTAAATTTGTGCATGATGGATACCTCATGACAGAGAGGTGGAAATTATGAACTAACAATTATTCTGTGGGAAGATGTTTGACAAAAATTTCACTAAGTACCCCCATGAGAAGGATGCCGATTGCCAAGCAGCATTTTTTCCTTAAATATACCGGTAAAGCATCTATTTAATTGAAGAACAGACATGAAGAGGTTCACATGTAGATAGGGTACATACTGGACATGTACATGTACATACATGTACATGTAAGTACTGATGATACCGGTACATGTATGTACTGTATGTCTTGAGGCACCATACATGTACATGTACAGTACATCTATCAATAAATTCTTCAAGCTTTTTCTCCCCCACCAAGACAATAAAAATTACTGTATCAGCCACTGGATAATCAGTAATGTTCAGTTGCAAATGTGTACAAGTACGGTACATGTGCGTGACAGACAGAATCAGCTAGGTTTCAAGGACTTACATGTACATGTATTGCTCATACCATGTTAAAGAAAAATCACACAGCAGCAGTGAACAATTTCATTTTCAAAAATGTACAACATGCAAATTACACATGTATATGTACATGTATTTTGTACTGTAAGAACACAATTGTATATGGAATTCTCTGAAAGTTTTGAAGAGGAATAAGTGTATAAGAGGAAGTGTGTATGATGCAGAACATGTACATGCACGTATGTCCATGTACATGCATGTACATGTATGTACATGCATGATGGAAATTGCTCACAGGCCAGCAAGGTGAACCCAATGAACCACATGTACAGTAGAACTCCAAGCTATTTTCACAATTTGGTTAATGCCCAAGTAACCATTCTTAAACACATAAACTGAACGAGTGGACCTACAAAAGGGTTACCCTACACAGGACATGGAAATGCAAAACAGCACTCAAATACAATTATGCACATATAAATCTTTCCAGCAATCAACAATCTCGTCAAGCTTGTCAGATCCTTTTATCAGTACATGTACATGTATAACAGGAAACATAATTTATTATGTGTATGATATTTTTATCTCTGTTTAACCTTGTATTTTGGTAGATGTCACAATTGCAACTTGAGTGCAACATGTGTTTTTTGGAAATATCAACACAAGATATGGAAACTGTGTCAGACAGCACAGACATGCACTGTGTCGATAAAACACACAGAAGCAGTGCAATTTGCCAAACAGGAAGATCTGAATTTTAAAACATGCCAGTACTCTGTAGTATTGAGATTCATGCATATTGTAAATGACAACATGGTCATCAAACATGTATGAAGTAAGTGTGCGTGCAACGTCTTAATGTATCAGTACACTGTACACGACGTGTAAATTAGCACTGCCAGGGTACACATGCAAACAATAAGTTCTGTACAGTACATGTAGTTTCATCATAACTAATGATTCAAAATGTAGTTTGAGGACATCATTGGACAAACTTGAGTGATACATATCATATAATTTGCCGAGGGAAATTTTTCAAGTAACAGAAACAAGATGCCAGTAGGACACGTATCTCCAACAAATAATAAACTTTTAAAGGAACTTTTACCAAAACTACATACACCGGGTACATACATGTACATGTACATGTGTAGACGTGTGTATCAGACATGCTCATTTACCTGCATGTATCCAGTACACAAGGTTTTGCTTTTACTGTCACTGAAAATGCAGTCCCTGATATTGAAGAATACAATATCAGGTGAAGTCTAACCTTCATCACTTTGAACTTAATTCAAAAATAATGTTCCTTACCATAGACACCCAAAACAGGTGCACCCATGACTGTGGCTAGGCACATGTACCACCAGTTGGTTTTCTCCCCGACTGATTTGAAAGATCAGGGCTTCTATTGAAAAAGCTGATGGACACGTACAGTGATTCTACTTGTGCGTCCTACATGTACATACATCATGTACAGTTACATACAGTACATGTACATAGATATCAGCCCTCCTACAATCTACCTGTAGGTCTAATTGGGCTAAAATGGTCCATATACGTACACTGGTACATTGTTGTTTAACCACTTTTTAATGATGCAGTGTTTTAAAAACAGGAACCTACATGAATGTGCAATGCACTACCATAACCACAATCTGGAAATACATTTGAAAAAAAGTTTAATTCCTATCAACATGAATGTACATGTCCATGTACCCTGCTCAAAGTCCAGGGTCTGATATTTGGATCAGTTTACCTTCTCACATTTCACAAGCAAACAGCACTCAACAGTATTGGCTACTAATCAGACTACATGTACATGTATATCATTATTTGGTTTTCTTTCTGATTCAGAAACAAAATATGCATGTTTGTGTGGTGATACGGGGAGAGGGGTTTTCCCTTCGTTAAAATCGGAGGCTTGGAGTGCGACTGATGTTTGGTCATAAATGGTGATGTACAATGTATGTACAGGTATGCCTTCATACATGTACATACACATAAAAAAAAGGAAACTTAGAGATTTTTTTCTTACTGTATACAGGGCAGAATACAGTACATGTACATAAAGTATTACACATACATGCATCAGTTGCCTGAAGTTTACCTGTAACACTATGAAATACACTTCTAGAAAGTCATTTAAATAAATTTTGTAACCAAGTAATGGATTTTACCCCTTTATACTGTTTTTCAGCTTGGAATATTTGATACAAAAATAATTATTCAGATGTTTGATGATCAATCAAATACATGTACATGTACATGAATACTCAGCACAGGAATAGGAAAAGAACCAGTCTTGATGCTGAAGGCCCATCAGAACTTCTGTACACAGTGGGACCAGTATGGAACCAAGGCCACAGAGGTGTCCCCTGGACTAGGAGAGATTAATGTCATGGACTACCAAACTTGAAAGGTTTTACTTCCACCCTCTCCTCTCCCCCCCCCATAGAGCCATTTCTACTCTGTGCACAGATGAAGGAAACAGCTCCAGACTCAAGTTTGTACAAGTACGTCTGGTATGCCATGTCACAGGCAACAGATGCAACCTGATAAAGTTGCCCGCCAAAAAAGGTTTAATGGCACATGCTGAAAGCAATATAAACTACATGTATGCATGTCAAAACATGTTTACAAAACGTAAATCTGAACATTTTTATGAAATAAGGCCAGAAATACTACACAGTTACAAGTGTAATGTACAGTGCATACACTGTATTTTTCAACTCAATTTTCATTAACATGTACCGCACATGTACATTGCTGGTACTGGTAAATTTGCACACAGAACAGATTTCAAAACTTGTGTTCCACACTGGAAGACCTCTTCAAGTTGTTTGTTTAATTGACATGTCATTTGTGGAATTTCTGACATTGACAGTCCATGCATTGGAAGAAGTGTTCTCAAATTCAAGTTATAAATCTTTAGTAAAGATTGATAACTTGAATTTGGTAAGAAATTTACACCTACATGTATTTGGGGTTGAAGTTGAAATCCCATGTTCAATCCTTTAACAGCAATGGTGAAGAAAGTTTGAATGCATACATGTTAGGCCCATACATCCACACATCACATTGCAGATCTTACTCTGCGTACATGTATGAACATGTACATGTAGCATGTATGCACTTGACACATGCATTAATTTCTATTGTGACAACAGCTCTAGAGATTGGAATTAAATATGATCCTGTCCCTTCTACGCACATGACCCGACCAAAAACACAACAGTCCGCTATCATCAAAAAGCTTTAAAATTTCCTTCACAGAGAAACATGAAAATATTCGTTGAAACATTTGAGAAAGACAAATAATTTTGGACTCTTCAGATCTCAAGTAGCTATTTTCCGTGGCTTGTGACTTGACTTGTAACTGCCAGCTTGAGCTTATGAGTATGACTTGACTAAGGGCTTGTAAAAAAAATGAATTGTGACCTGAATTGGACAGCCAAAATTTATAAATTGTTACCAACACAAGTTCAAAGGTACCAGTAAATGTACATGTACTCAAACGACCCAACAAACTATTCAATCATGTACACTGTACATGTAGCGCTATTAATTCACGCCTTACCTGTATGTGCATTTAAAAAATCAGAATTTGTTTGGCCAGGGCTTTGACTTCTTGAGTCTGGTCTGCCCTGCTGATGCATGACTTACATGTACATGTATATTAATGTGGGACTTGACGTGTACTTGGAAAAAGAGACTTTGACTTGCCTTATGTTTAGACCAACTGACTTGTACGTAAGTGATTACTTGACTTGTGATGGAACCCAATGATGTTATCACTGCTTTATGCTGTACCTTTTTTTACCTTTCACATGCCTTTATGCTGCACATTCCATATATGACAGGCTAGAGCACAAAATGAGGGTCCATACAAAAATCCCTTCACAATTCATTCACCTTGGTGTATACTCTTTGGTGTAACCTTCCTTGAATTCTCTAAGCCTTAAATCCAACACAAATTGTGAATTAGGCATGTTTGGGGTCTATTCTGAAGTAGCATAGAAGTTTTAAAACATTTCTTTGTGGCATTTATCATGTTTACAATTAATGTCTGGAAAGATTTAAGCTGGCTGAAAACGTCTCAATATAGCTCTGACCAAAAAAATAGTTCTGGCAGTCCATTTTTACGTCTGAGTCAACCCATGATCAATCTTTTCCGGTGTACATGAATTGTATCTGGCCACCACAAGTATGTACTCTCTACAAAACATTGAAAATCCCACCTGAACTTAATTTTCATAAAAGACAAGCCTGTTCAGTTTGGGAGATGCTGGTGCAAGTCTTATTTAATTAAAGCATGAGAACCATGATGGTAAAGAAAGAACTCTTTGCCTAGGCTCTGTCGATTATAGATAACTGCCAATATTGATACATCGGCGGCTCAATATCGATAATACCTACATGTGTACATGTATATTTCAAATTTTGTGAAGAATATGTTTTCAAGCTCAAAACCAATGGCATAATTCATGCATAACTGAACACCTTTTGCGGAAAGGAGACTTAGGTCCCTACATGTACCAATTGGTCCTATAAACCATGCAGCATTCACAAACTTTTTAATCTTTCCAAACAAAATCACTGACAACATCAATAACCAGCAGTCAGAACGGTATACTTGTAAATGTACTCAAATGCGAAGGCCCGTATACTCCGGCTAGTTTCATTGCTTCCCGGGACAGTAAATTCCTCCTTCAACCAATCACAATTGATGAGACTGCTATGTCACAATGTGACATAAACATACATCACCCAAACTATTGCATGTATGCAGACAGGGCGCAGGCATCTGATGCATCATTCATACATGTACAAGTTCGGGCAGCGGGTATTTCTTAACCACTCGACGATTTTGTCTGTTGTCACAGTATGCAAAAAGTACACACACAAGTACCAGGCAAAATTTACTAATGTTGAAGTCACAGCCACATGAACATGTAAAAAAGTCTTCCAGCTTCATGTCTTCCAGCATGACAGCCGTCAAAGCTCCGCTGCAACGCTGTGGTACCAAACCCAATAACGTTAAGTTTTAACCCCTTCGCGCCGGGAAACGGCTATAGCCACCGTAAAAATTGAGATCCTCAGCCCGCTTTTCAGCTATTATTCTCCGTCCGTGCTCGAGCAATCATGGGGAAAGAAGGCAGACCCTGGCTCATGTATGTACATGTATGGTAATTGGTCTTTGTGTGTTGCCTTCAAAAGAGCAAGAAATACGAAACAGAAATTGTTAAGAGCCAAACTACCATTACAAGTTGAGCTCTCCCAACAACTCCCCATAGAATATGGGTTCTTCAAGGAACCACAGGAGCCAAATGAAACTTTACAAATATTGCTCACCCTACTGAAAGAACAAAACATAACCACATAAAACCGTTGGCAGTTATACACTAAAACCTCCAAACTACATGTACACACATGAGAACAATTAAATAACACATAAAAACACCAACGAGTCAGCCCCTGGATCAGCCCCTGGATCGTCTGAACCACTATGTTCAACTGAAGAGTGCCCACTTGCTAGGTACAACAGCATTGTGTTGCTACAAAACAGGGCCTGCAAAATAATCCTCTACTCGCACCCCCCCCAAATTATAAATTTAAAAAATCAAAAAGGGTATTCACCCCCACATCTTATGTCTGCTGATAACCAAACCACAAAACGGACATAAAAAGGGACGGGCAAACACAGACTTGTAACAGCAAGTCCAAACATGTCAGCCATCGAGGAATGTTGGAAGGGTACGATGGGAGAGTGCCATTTCTCTAACACAACTTCACATCACTTTTTTGAAGCAATTTTCCACAACTGTGGAATCAGAAAGAAAAGATGATTGACTGAAGGCGGAATTGGTGACAAATTGTGCAGTAAGATTGACTGATGGAGCTAATATCAAGTGATCCCGCATACCGAAGATCGCACCCAACAGACCTACGTATCAATACTTAATCCTCCCCAAGTTGAAATGCATCCTTGGATTCCACGCAGCTATTATTTCAATTTTCATGTACCAAATGAACAACAGGGGACTGCACATGTACATGTGCTCTGCACGTCCCAAGCAGACTATAAAACTATGTACATATACAAGCATGACACGGTGTAATTATACCCCACCCCATTCCAAAACAAAATGAAACTGACACCGTCTGACTGTGCAGTGACACGACTAAATCAATGGTGACTATGGTCATGATCCATGATGGTCTTTTTTTACTCACCAACCTTGATTCAACTGTGGTTAACGTCAACTTCAGGGTACGTCAGCCTCAAAAATTAATCAAGGTGTACGTATAAACCATCATTGGTCATAAAAGGCTTAAATTTTTCCCTGAAAGTCTTCGAAAGACGATTAAGTTGGGATTCTCGAAGGCACAAGTTCCAAACATATCGCGCATGAATCACACGCGCAGCTCATCGGCCAAAAAAATCTACTTCCCCAGACAGATTCCCTGTAGCTGAAAACCGCTAAACTAGTTCAAAGCGTCAGGGTGTAGGATAAGCTGCTGGGGATAGTAGCCGTGTCCAAAAAGGGCTCCGAGAGCTACGGCTACGTCTCTTGTCAGCGCGTCTTTCCAATGGAGAGAAGATCTAGACCTAGTTCTAGTATAGACAACAGAGAGACGCGTCAGACACAATTACGGAGACCTTAAGGGGACAAACTATTATTTGTTATAATTTAGTTCCTTCGAAATTTTCGTCCCTAGAAATTATTTCGTTCAAGTCTTATTTCCTTCCCTCGAAATAATATTTCCTTCCATCAAAAATAATATTACGGAGGCTCAAAGTGACCATTCGTGTTTCAGGTGCGTGGTGAAAGGTGTTGTTTGCTGCAAAATGGTCTTCAATCTGTGAATGCCCAACTTTCGAAATTAAGTGTTTGATCGTATTGTGACGCCGCGCCCCTCCGACGAAGGCGATGGCGCCCTCCTCCTGGAGGCGCGACGCGTTGGACGGCACGTACCGGAGAATCCCTGAGCGGCTCGGGGACGCGTCCGTGGACCACAGACATATAAACGCATAGACCGCCAGGTCCTATTCAAAACTACAGGGGGTTTTCGCGATCTGCGCGGCGCCCGACTAAAAATGAAAACTATGGGCAAATTCACCCCTCGGTATAGGGAATTTACGCACAGTTGAAGAATTCCACCATGAAATTCTATGAAGCCATTTTTCGATTGTAAAAACCCTCTATTTACTTAATTAGTCTGGCCCATAGGGATTCAAAACAATGCGGTTGCAACAGTTGAAAAGAAGAGACCATGAGCAGTACCGAAGAGCAAAAAAGTTGAACGTATTTGGAAGCACATGTAAACAAATACATGTACAGGCATTGTAAATGCGTTGCGCGTAATGCACACTGGACGCGCTGCAATTTGTCGCTTCGCTCGTTGTTTGCCCATACTTTTCAAAATCACGGTTTTACGCGCAAGACCGGTGGTCTATTCGTTTATATGTCTGTGGCTGGGATCGGGACAGAAGTATACCGTCCCCCAAGAAAGTTCAACGATCTCTGGTCTTCGTTGAGATGATGCCTAATCTGATTGGCCAAAACTTAGTGACGCAATCCGGACAGAACTGACTGGAAATAAACTTCAATACACCAGTAGAGGACGCTATTGACGGGAGACTGTGTGATATACGTGACCGGACTTCGATCGCCCAGAGCAGCGAACACCACAATTAAGTGTGGGCATCCACTGCCGAATCAGGGACTTTAGCAAGTCTACGGGGCTTATTGTCAGGGCTGCACTACACGCAAAACACGTCATGAGATAGCAATCCGCCCTTATATCGACCGCAAGCTCGTGGCAGGAACTATACAGCATCACCGATTAGCCACTAGGCACAGTCACATCAGGTTAGGTGACTTTAACCCTTGCACAGGATTATCGACCCTTACCTCAGGATCAGCCTTTGATCAGGACGGCTAAAACCAGTGCTTCCACAGTCAAAATGAAAATTTCCCTATCCCCAGAGCCAAATTTCCTTATTTTCCTCCCGATTTCCTAATTTTAACTTTGCATCCGCTTTACAGCCTGAAAAGAAATCATCTCCAGTTTAAAAAGCCACTCCAATTGTGTTCCTATATGATCTTTTATCTTTGTCTGACATTCAGGATGATTTCTGGAGGGGTGGGTATGCCAAACAGATTGGCTTGGCTTGCCTTCCATAGGCTTTGCTTTGGGATGGTCTCTCCCAGCCTAGGCTGGACTGGGCTAAGGTAAGGTAGAGCCACAACTTGGGCTTGGTCGGGCATAGTATAAGGTGGACTTAGGCTAGCCAAAGGCAAGGCCATATCTTGGGCCTGGTCTGGTCGATCCTGAGCTGGACAAGTGCTAGGCCAAGCCTAAACGTCGCGCTTTTGGCCGAAGTCGTCATTCATGTGAAAGTCCGCTGACCATCCACCACACATCTTCAACATTGACCTTGCAACATAAGCAAGAAAAGTGTAGAAAAGTGTGTAAGTATGAGCTGGCTGCGTTAAAGCTTACGTGGCTTGCCTTGCCTAGGGTTGGCTTGGGGCGGCCTAGTCTGGCTAAGCCTCAGCTGGACTGAGGCTATTCCAAGGCAAGGCGATGGCCTGTGCATGGTCTGGCCTACCCTAAGCAGGGCTGGGGCTAGGCCAAGGTAGAGCCATGACTTAGGCTTGGTCTGGCCTAGTCTTAGCTGGACAAGGGCTAGGCCAATGCAAGGTGAAGTCCAAGCCTATGTGTTGGCAAAACTGCGACAGGATTTGTTAACAGCTTTTGGCAAAGGGCAAGGCTGAGGCTAGTCCTTGGTTATTCAATGATTATCAAATGTAAATAAATTTGGGCCTTCGGCTGAATGCGTGCTCCTTTGAGTATTTTAGAAAATTGCAGCTATTTTTGAGCATTCGGCTGAATGCTAGCTTTAATGAGAAATTCCAAAAATAACAGATATACTCACACGTTGCGCAGGGAAGTAACAAAGTTGAGAAATAGACATTTTCCTTTTTTACACAATCACCGAGTCGTCATTTGATGTGAAAGTTCGCTGACCATCTTCCACACCTCCTCCCCGTTGAATTTTCAACATAAAGCAAAACAAGCTCATAGAAGCGTGTAGGTGTGAGTGGAGTATGTTAAAAAGTGGCTTGGCTTGCCTTACCAAGGCTTGGCTTTGGCCTGGTCTGGCTTAGCCTCAGCTGGACTGGGGCTATTTCAAGGCAAAGTGACGGCTTGGGCATAGTCTGGCCTATCGAAAGCTGGACTGGAGCTAGGGCAAGGTGGAGCGACGACGTCAGCTTTTTTGGCCTAGTGTAAGCTGGACTTGGACTGAGCAAAGCCAGGGCCACTTCTCGGGTATGGCCTAGTCTGGACAAGGGCTAGGCAAAGGCAAGGGTACAGCCAATGCTATGTATTTGCGAAAACTGCACTATACTTTGTTTCAGCCTTTGGTCAAGGGCTAAGACTAAGCCTTAGTTAGGCTTAGTTTATCATAATTATACAGACAAATTTTCGCCTTCGGCCGAATGCGTGCTCCTATGAGGTTTTTTTTTAAGAAAGCAGCTATTTCTGGACATTCGACCGAATGCGACCTTCCAGGAGTAATTTTGGAATTACCAGATACATTTGCACATTGAAAAAATAGACATTTCTTTTTTTTTTACATATTCACCGAGTCGTCATTTGAATTTAAAGTCTACTGACCATCTACCACGCCACCCCCCGTTGAATTTCCAGCATAAAGCACGAAAAGTGTGCAAAAGCGAGCGGGTGTGAATATGGTATATTAAAAAGATTGGCTTGGCTTGCCTTGCCTAGGTTTGGCTTGTTCCTGGTCTGGCTTAGCCTCAGCTGGACTGGGGCTATTCCAGGGCAAGGCCATGGCCAAGACTAGGTGTCACGTATCTATCAGAGATGTACTTAACGCATTGTGGAAGCGTCAAGTTCGGAATGTGAGATAAACGGGCCGAAATAACACTAAATTAAAATTTATAAATTCAAACCTAATTGTTAAGTATATGAAAAACCAGTGTCCTCTCAGAGAAGTATGTGGCTCAGTGTGGGCGCACAGTGCTCGAAAGTGTGGAAAGGTGGTTCGAATCCCGGATACACAACTTTTTCAAGTTTATTTGATTAATTCAAACCTAAGGGTTAAGTATAAAAAAAAATAAGTATTCTTTCAGAAAGGTATGTGGCTCAGTGTGGAAGCGCCGTGCTCGAAAGTGTGGGAAGGTGGTTTAAATCCAGGGGATACTTTTTAAATTCCAATCTACAGAATAAAATCTAAGAATTAGAGACTTATTGTACTACATTTGATGGTAACCCTCGTTATGAAAGGTCAAAGGTTGTTTGGCCTTGTACATAAGGTAAGCGTCATATCAAAAATATGACACATTGTTGTTTATGTAAAAAAGTTTGTTATTCACAGGTTTTTCTTGTCGCATCTAATTAAAGAATTTTTGTTCGGCTTAAAAGGCATTTAGGCCTGTCAGGAGGCTGTGTGACGTGACAGAGGGCGCTGGTCACTGGGCGCGGTGCGAAGTTAATACACGAGCATAATGCAATGCCTGCATACCCACCCTTCTGCCATTAAGCAGTTGTGTTATGTAAAACCATTGTCAATAGGATCTGTAAAGAAACAATTCCTCTTAAGGAAGTTAATCATCACTGAAAGATAAATACATGCTTTCAAGACTTTCTACAATTATCTGGGATGTGTCCTAGTGTCCATGAAAATTCGGGAAGTGCCACCACGGCTAAAAAATACCTGTCAAGAATGTCTTTCTAATGAAGAGCAAGTAACTTGGAGTGATTTGACTAGTTTCTGGAATTACTTCGAACGCAGAGGGATTTTTGTCACAATACTTGCAGTAATCCAATTTAATTTAAACTCTTCAGGCCCACAATCGGAGATTGGTTTCGGACACGGCCTAAGCTTTATCCATCTTTTCCCTCACAAGGCATGGACACATTGTGTTTGTTGTAAATTCTTTGGGCTTAAATTCTTGGAGGGGGGTCGGCACTGGGGCATATATTTTCCACACTTTATTTGGGTGGGGGGTGGGCTATCGAATCATCCTCCGCACTTTTTTTGTGGTGAGCAATATATTGAAGAGGATTGTGACAAATTTTTCAGTCTTCAAAAGACTAAAATGCATTATCACTAGGCTAAGGAACAATTTTAAACAGCCATAAAATGCCATTTTGAATACATATCACAGATTGTCACAAACCGGGTCCAAAATATAGATTGATCACTTTTTCCTTATCTCCACTCACTGACAACAAAGCCACAAAAAAAGAAACTTTCAGGAACTGGTAGTAATCTATACAACATAAAAGTAAAAAAGGAATTTATTATTATTTACAATCTCCACAAAATCCTTGATAGAGCTTGTGAGTTTTTCAAGAGTTTACCCGAAACTAAAAATACATTAATCACATCATTACAAATTCATTATATTACTCTCCCCCCTCACGGGTACTCATGCATGTCCTCCAGCGTGTCGTCGCTCCACCAGCTGAATGCTCTGGGGATCTCCGCCGATTTGACAAGGTAATGTGGTCGCAAGTCCCCCTTTCTAGGTCCTCCGTTCCCTCCTGGTTCTCTTCGGGGTAACGGGGCAGCCTCTCCCTCAAAGAGGAAGATTCTATGACTGAAACTCCACTCAGTTTTAAGACGAGCGAACAGTCTTAAAGTCTGACTCCCTGGCTTAAAACAACGATCGGTTTCCGTACGTAGACTAGCTTCTCAACTGTGGGTTTAGCTTTCCAAGAAGTGGATTTCACTTCTTAAGCACTTAAGTTAAGCTAACGCTTTCCAATGAAGAAAATATACGATTTGGGCTATCGCCACAAACTATCTCTGTTTCTCAATTCTCGTTCCGTTTCTCAAATTCTCATAGAGCTATCGCTCAATCGACGAAATCAAAATGTGCTATCACACGATGACCGATCAGGAGTCTCTCTCTATGTCAAGATCTGTCCGCTGCCTCTCCAATGCTTCACTACGATTTTAACCCCGCAGAAAGATCATGCTAACTAATCTAAATGTCATGCAAATTTCGAAATTCCACACGTTTTCAAATTTTTCCCTCGTCAAATGTATTTGGTCTTATTAGTCAAAATATTTACATACTCCCCGTGTTACTATACGTAAGAAGGTGGGTCCTCAAATATGCTGAATATTCATTATATATGTACCAAGGTTTTACGCCCTCTTGTGACACAGGTGTACATTAATGTCATGAACATCAACCCTCGTCTAGAGTACTGTTGAGTAATTTCTGCCCTGTTTTCATATTTTGACTGGAAATATCCTTCAATGCTTATATCTATAATCCCTTTTCCCTTGTTCAAAAAGAAATACTTTGTACTTTTGGCCAGTTCTCCAGGTCCCCCTTAAAAACAGATTTTAGATCTACCCTTATAACCCTAGTCCAGTGTATTTGGTTGTTTCAGTTTTCAAGTAAAAAGAGTGAATTTGTGATTGGGATGATGAGATGTGTGGGAGATTTCAAGGTTGAAAATACGTAATGAAGTAAATAGTGTAATTTGTTTTCGATTTCTTTCCTCTGATTGCATAGGTTATTACATCTACACAGAAACCAGTCAACCGAGAATTATCAATGAAGAGGCCCATCTTTAATTTAAGTAATCATAACTAATCACAGAATAACAAACAGTTAACTGGATCGATGATAATAACCTTGTGTGTAATTGTACACAGCCCGATTGTATGCAATAAAACCCTACACCTTGACATGTGCTCACAGCCATAACTTTGTAAATTGTCTCTGTTTTTTGTTGTGTGTATTTCTTCCCCAATAAATGCTTAATATTTCACATACCCATGAAAACCCATAGGAGTAAAATAAAGGAAATTTAAATTTCCTTTGGGATGACGTGTGCATTGACTCCTAAAGTGCGAGCCGAAATTTCCACACAATGTTCCCATTGAACAGCGTCCTCTGTTGACGAATGCAACAAACAAATTAAAGAACATTCCAGCTTAACACCTAGGCTAGGTCTGTAGTAAACATGTAGTATATATGTCTGTAGTATACATGTGGTAAGAATATCCGAAGCCACCCGGAGTAGACTGCAGCCGCAGATCCAGGTTGGGGGTCGATTCCCCCACTCTTAGACACACACACACAAATTTTTTTAAAAGGGAGAAAATGAAATAAGAAAATACAAAGAGGAAAAAAATGAACTAAAAAGAAACTAATTGGAGTAAGTGCACCGATATACCATTGTAAACAAAATGTATGTCATCTGTTTCATGGTTTCTGCTTGTCTGCAAAAATATGGCATTAAAAAATTTCTAGTTACGGATCTTTCAAGGGGACACAGATGACAAAAACAGTTGAGAAAAAAAATCGTTGGAACGAAAAAAAAATCGTTCCAACAAATTTTTTTATCACCCACGTGGCCGTGAAAGCTCCTTACTTATTTTGTTGGCACCAGTACTACATTAACAACCAAAGTTTTGATTGCCGTTGTGAGTGACCGTTTCTTTTCTCTTTTTTTTTGTGGGGGGGCTCTTTTTCCGATTAATAAGCTACTGTCGTTGAACAAACCCTTGGGAGTAGGTACACTGTATTTATATTAAACGTAGGCCCACTCAAGGGGATTTCCCATTACGTCACAGGCGGAAGTCAGTCCGTGGCGTCGGGCACATATCTCAAATGCAAAACACAATTAGGCTACGTCTGTCGATAACATTTCTTCTGTGGCTGTGGCTTCAAAGCTGAAACGATTTGCAGGCCAGAAAAAGAGAGTTCTCGTTTTACAGTTTCATATATCAGGCGCAGAACATCAACTTAGACCTAGACAAGGTTTCTGTGTCGAAAGCAGTGAATTTCATGTCCCTGACGCAGAATCCAATTAAGGAACGATGCCAAGGTTTTAGAAATAGCCCGAAGGTCATTTCAAAGTAAAGTGCAAATCGAGGCCTTTGTACTCCGCTTTACGGGTCTACTAATAAACGTAGCGTCTGGCGTCACATGTAGGCCTATTACTCGGAAAACTCCATCCATCGATGCATTTAGCATCCAATATTGCGCAGATTTATTTCCAGGAAGTTTCTACCCACCGCTGTAAACCTTCATATGATGTTGAATTGTACACCTGCTACCAGCACTGTCATGGTCGTGTCAAAGACAGCAGTCGGTGGTATTTGATGATGGAATAACTGTTGCTACATGCTAGCTCTTTCGCCTTGGTTTTTAGACTACTGTTCGCTGGTGAGTGTCAGCCCACTGCGCTGATAAAGCCTATACACAGTGGCGGCAAATGGAGGGGGGCGCACATCCAGGAGCCCTACCCCCTCGTGGTAGTCCGTGGCACGATCCCCAGGTGCTTTGAAACGTACATAACTCGTAGCGTAACTCATAGTCTATGTGTATTAGTCACTGTTAATTTGCTTTTGACGTACATGTTGTACGTTGCCCCCTGAAACAATGAGTGCGCCCAACAAGACAAATCACTCCAGTTTCGCAACTGTATTTGAATTTGGACCTGTCAATGTAGCAATTAGCCTTGTAGCATGTTTAGAAGCATGGCTGAAACAAGAGGAGGGCGCTATTTGAATTAGGTAAATTTGGAGCAAATACGATTGATTTTACCCAAACAAAATGGCGTCCTCCCATTGTGTCTGCCATGCTGCTAAAAGGCTAATTAACATGTTCGCTTTGTGTTTGTTTTGTTGATTTGTAGAAGAGAGACAGAGCTAGTGGTTTGGGAAAATACAAACATTCAAAATTACAGGGATCATCCCATCTTTTTGCCAACTAAGAAAAAGTGAGGATGTCAAAGAGCTCTAAAGGCTTATTTTCCTTCCTCCATGAATAGCTCCACAACATCACAGGCAAAGCTCTGGTGTCGCAAGGAAAGTTCGGGGGGCAGCACTCCGACCCATCAGCAGCAAACTGACGGACCATTAACAGTGGAGTGGGTCAACTTTGAGGTGTTTTCAAGCAAACTGTAGATCTCTGTCCCATGTCTTCCCTCCCCCGTTTTCTTTTTTTCCCATTTTTGTTTCTTTCCCATGCCCCCACGATGACCATGAGGCTGGATGCACAACCTTCAACGTTTGTTTAGATTAATTGATCAGCTTCGAGTGGTACCGTTGATATATTTGTTTAAAATCAGCACCGACAATAATGTGGTACTGTCAGTTGGGATGAAACAGTATCTGAAATGTGAAATGGGCCTAAAAGTAATGTCCCGTGTGATTTCTACAGGCCCTATCGTTGGAAAAATTTATTCAAAGGGATGAAAGTCGTATCCTGTTGAGAAATACTCAGTTTTTGAAAGGTACATTCTCAAACCTTTTCAATTATTGAACCTTGCAGGTCAAACCAGACGGTGTGTGGTTATCACGACAAAACATGGCTGAGGGAAAGCTGTGCCGCTCAACACTGAGGGACTTTAGTGACAAGCATTTGCTTTGTTCAATTTGTTACGAAATGTACCGAAAGCCTAAGACTCTAAAATGTCTGCACAGCTTTTGTGAAGACTGTCTCATGAATTATGTGAAATCAGCCAAGGGGAATATCAAGTGTCCAGTATGCAGAAAAACGACTTTGCTTCCTCGGAGAGGCGTAAGGGACCTCCCTTCCGATTTCAGACTCACAAGTATGACGGACATGGTTTTGCACACGGAGGGGACTTCCATACCAACTTGCCCCACCCATGCAGGGAATATGTGCGGAGTATACTGCGAAACCTGTAGGGAAGTTATGTGCCTACGATGTCTCAAGGAATCCCATACAGCTCACGAATTTGACGAAGTAGCTGGCGCAGTGACCGCAGCAAAACAACACTTCGTTGAAGACATTTTGCCTCAATGCGAAACTTCACTCACAAAAATTGTTGGGATTTTAGAAACCGTCTCGAAGACAGAACAAGATTTAAGGACCACGTTTAGGAACATTAGAGACCAGATAGCGGGGAAAACTCAACGCGAAATCAAGCGCGTGTTGGAAGCAAACGATCGTATCTTACTTGAGCTCGATAAAATCCAAGCTGAAAGAGAGCAAAGCTATGCCTCTATCAAGGAGGATTTACTCTCGCAGAAGAGAGATGTAACACTAGCCATTGACTACTCCACTGGCGCCACAGAAACCAACGACTACCATTACCTCCGAAGATTTCCTAAACTTTCATCCGACTTCTTCGAGCTTATAGACCGCCCTTTGAACGACATCGAGTGTACGGTGTCGTCTGTAGAGTTTCTGCCATCCAGCGAGGCTGACGACATCTGTCTCGGCACCTTAGCAACAAGTTGTGAGAGTTTGAGATTAAACTCAACGGATGACATTGTGGACAGTAATGACGGTGATAATGATGAGGGAGAGGAAGATGGCCCAAGAGCTCATGGTGATGGTGGTTGTTGCTATGGCAATGAAGATGGCAGGTACGCAGTAAATGACGTTCCCGGTGATACAGGCAGTGAGAAAACGGGAAGCGGCAGTCAAGAGACATTTATTGGTCGTTTCTTTGCGTACGTATCTGCCCGCCTAATGCCGCCCTATATTTGACTCCCTGCATTTTCCAAGAACATGGTTCTTTCAACCTGCCATAATTATTTTGATCCCCAATTCGCCAGTGTAGCGTGTTGGGATGAATTAACACCGAAAAGCTCAGAGATGGCTTCCAAATAATGGACGTATTTAAGCAACACACTTTGTCGACCAGTATTGTCGATTTTTTTCCGCTAACCGGGATATTTTGTTTCTAGATTAGCAGGGAAAATCAACCAGTGGTCGACAAAATGATTGTGTCTCGAACATACCCAATGAGGTATTATATTTCTCAAACAGTGAGAGTGATATTCCGCATCTTGATGAAATTAATGACATGACGAATCGGATTATAAAGCTTCTGGGCAGAGTTTTTGCCAGGTGTAGTTGTGGCTGGCGATATTAGTTTCACTTTGGCTTACATGGGTGCACGTTATGGCACATTTCTGAGAAACGGCAAAACTAGGCTTAAGTTAAGAAAATCGGTTTAATTGCGTGATCGACGTTCTATCAATACATCTAGGCACGGTAACGATGTGTCTACGTAACTTAGTTGGGCTTAAAATTACAACAACGTGCATAGTGACTCCAGTTAATCTCATAGACTGGTGTGTTATTTCAAGACAAAGCCAAGTAAATTCAGACATTCGACCTTTAATTTATGGTTCTATTCGGCAAAGGAAGAGAGCAGTTTGTTCCCATGCTACGACTTCATTCTGTCGGGCTGATGTAGCATTTCACTCTTGATATATACCGGTAATTTTACCGTTCTTCTTTATTGTGTACATACCTGTATATTTATTTCGTAGCTGAAGGCCAAAAACAATATCCAGAATTTCCCTGACCAAAAATTGTGGCCGCTTGACTGTGCAGTAAACATTTTTGTAGTAACCTTCCCTGACAGGCTGACAACTGCGGGAGTGTATGTTACTAAGGCGATTTTCAAGCATTCCCAGTCTATTTATTTTGCCAAGGGACATTACTATTTCGCCTGTGCCGATTATAATTTTACCGTTTCGACAGTAATCCACCCAGGCGAAATACTTATCCGCCCGGGTGAACTTCCCTGCAGGCTCAGTCACGGGCATTTTTTTAAATCATGTCCCAAATGTACACTCTCGTAGATAAATGTAACACAGGCACCAACCACAATGCGAAAGTGAACATGTTCATGTATATAGAAGATGTGTATTACCGTGAGAAACGATGGGAGATGTGTCAAATTTTCACAGATACCAATTTTGTGAGGGAAAGTCGAGAACAGAAGCAGACAAAAGCTAACTGGAAAGGGCATATTCCGAGTCATTCCGTGTGAACATTCACTGTTTGTACAATTACTGACCCTCAGACTAAAAGTGAAGAAATAATCCACAAAGTGTATGACCATGGAACGTGGCCATATTAAGTACTAAGTGAAAGTATATCGGGGCAAATGTAGGCTACATTTTGAAGTAAAACTCGACAACACAGACGAGTGATATTCCTGCAAACTTTAGCCACCCACACTAAACTTAGTCAGTATGTAAGATTTTTACGTAAATAGTCACGAATGAATGAACTGCTTTCTGATGGTAGAATGTACTCCTTGTGACAATTGTAAGTTCAGTGCCTCTGTTGCCGGCAACAATAGCAGGAATGATGCTAACATGGTTAAGGCAAATTTAGCGCCATATCGTACTTGAAAATTGTGAAATCATGTTCCCCCTTTCTTCAATGTTTACAATACCTAACTATTTGCTGATAACCCAGGGTACTGTTTCTATTATGTTCCTTAATCCTCCGCCGTAATAGGGTGGAAATGTTCTTTACAAACAATGAGCCTGAAAAGGAAAACAGGTAAGTGGGTTTGCGCACTGGTTTGAGTGTTCGCATGGACATCAAGCGCAGTAGCGCTCGTGAAACCCAATAAAACCATCTGACGGTCTTATGGGGTTAATAATGCGTGATGCACATAACATTTCCTGATAAATAAAATACTGGACATTTGCATTTTGCCATGAATTCCAATTTATACGCATATTTATAATGAAGGTATTAAATATTGATGGAAAGAACGCTACATTCTGCGGTCTCCATTTCTTTGAATTTTCAAAGAGAAGTTATTAAAACTGTATTAATACATGTATATGTTCTTCAGTTAAGAAGATACAAATGTGCCAATATAACCAATAACCATCTTAGTAACATATCAACCAATCTCAGCTATTTGGCATTGTATTTGTCAAGTCGTTCAAGCAGTGTGTTTTCTCTGTCCGAAGAGGAATTACCGTCCGAATTAACTGATTTACTTTCATATTCAAAATTCCTTTATGCGACGGCCGAATAAAATCCTAGCCATGCGCCTGCGACCTGTTATAGTGGTGTCACGCGGCGGTAAGCGGGGTGGGGTAGATGGCGCTCTTCGCGACTGTCTGTAATTTAATGTAGCTCTATGGTTTGCCCATTTTCTGTTGTAATAATGCAGTGTCACAATAACTTTATATCCCCCAGATCCGTTTGGATGAAATATACAGCCAGGCAGCCCTATTTCCTATAGACAAGGAAAGGACTAATAATATGGCAAAGACACTTCTTGAATCGAACAATAATTTATTCCTCTTTAAACTTCAACGATTATCTGAATTAATACTAAGTTAGCGCGTCGACTCGCCAGCTCAGTTTACTCCGGCTCCCTGAATTACCCCGCCAGTCCCAGACTGGAAATTACTCATAGTCTTCTAGTAATAACTAGAAGTCCCCTTTATCCTTTGCCCCTATATCCAGCCTGCAGCTTTCTTGACCTTTCCTTTTGTCCTCTTGCATTCGTCCGTGCTTGGTTGATTCTCTGTGTGCTTTTTGGTCCTACTTGTCATTTTGCTTTTGAGAAAGATTCTGCTAGGATCGAAACGTCAGGCCCTCCATATTTTGAGGTTTGTATTTTAGGTCAATGCAGTCAGCAAGCAGTTTGCAGCAGTTTTGTATTACATATCTTTGGAATTC